CCCTTTTATAGAACCAAGGAAAAAAACCCATTTGATCCATCTCCAGTTGAGTGTAAGAAAAAATCATTTGACAAAAATTCAACCCCCCTTTCCCGGATGAAAACCCGCAGAAACCCCAGGAATTGGAAAAGGAACGTCTTTCAAAATGAATAAAAGGACATTTTATGAAACCACCCTCAACTAACATCATACCTAATGGGGAAAGGCCCAAAAAGCTTTCCCCTAAGATCAGGAACAAAGACAGGGATGCTTTGCACACGGTCCCCACTGCTATTCAAACATTTACTGAAACTTCCCAGCCCAGAGCAATTAAATTAGTCAAGAAAAAAAAGACATCCCAAATTGGGATAAGAAAATTAAAAATATCTGTTAGCGAAATGCCATAATTTTTGTATGAAGAAAATGCAATAAACCACAAAAGTTTTTATTGTAGTTTATAAATGAATTCCGCAGAGCTGCAAGATACACGATTAACACACAAAAATGAGTAATGTTTCTATACACCAGCAATGAAAAATACAAAAAAGAAATTAAGAAAACAATTCCATTTACAATAGCAGCCAAAAGAATAAAAAACACTCAGGAATTAATATAAGTAGGTGAAAAGACCTGCACAGAAAACATTGCTGAAAGAAATCAAAGAGCTCTGGGAATAAACACCTGGACCCACCTCACGCTCCTCCATCCCGCTAACCTCTTGCCAGTGCCTGTATGTGCAGAACTGGCAGCCAATGAGCCAAAGAACACAGATCAGCCTCACAGAGCACTGAGTGGGATGGGGGAAGATGGAGAATGAATCTGGAGAGCAAATGGGAGATATCTAGCACATCTCATCATTTCAATATCTGATGTCTTTGTGGGTGCTTTTCTGTTGCATGTTGTTTCCAACAGCTTTTACTCATGGTGCCTTCTTTCCTTGTGTCTTGTTTTATTTTTATTGTAAGCATATAGCCCTTGGAATTTTATCCATGGGAATATTTTGAGGGCTGGGTTGAAGTTGCATTTCTCCACAGACATTTGTAAATGCTTCTTCTGAGAGCCTTGTGACTTTACCAGCCAGGGACATCTTACACCAAATATATCTCTATCTCTATATCTCTATCTCTATCTCTATCTCTATCTCTATCTCTATCTCTATCATCTCTATCTCTATCTCTATCTCTATCTCTATCTCTATCTCTATCTCTATCTCTATCTCTATCTCTATCTATCTCTATCTATCTGTCTATCTTCTAGCTGGTTTGGCTCAGCCGACACCTGTGGACTGAAGGATCCCAAGTCCGATTCCGGTCAAGGGCACATTCCTGGGTTGTGGGCTCGATCCCCAGTGTGGGGCGGGCAGGAAGCAGCCGGTCACTGGGGCATGCCAGCCAGGCTACAGCAAATTTTTGACTCAAGGTGTTTCAGACTAACCAGTTTGCATGAACTCAGGCCTTAGACCTCCGTGAGGGCTATGGTGGTTCTATGTCCTCAAAAGAGCCTTTCTCTGCTCCCTGCAGGCAATCTTACTTGCAGTGCCCTGGAAGGTGGGTTATTTCTGCTTCGGTCTTACCTTGAGGATATAGAACTGCGGGGTGTGTAGCAGACACATCTGATGATCCTTGTCATATCCCTTCTGTCCATCTCCGGTCTTCACCTCAGGTGTGGTGGAAGGTTCTGCTTTAATTTCAGCCATAGTTCTGGTGCGTGGTTCCTAGCAAGCTCACGTGAGCTTGTGCTGACTGCATCCACTTCAGGTGCACACATCCATCTTTCTGCTCTTGCTCCAGGACCTTTGTCAAAGCCAGGGCAGCCTGTAAGTTGACACCCATGAAGACAACCCTCAACTCACAGAAGGGGAAACTGGTGGACAGATGTTCCAGGCTCTTGCCTTTTGGGTGGACCATTCTGGCAGGTCTCTGTCTGCTTCTCAGGATGCCCCTGCAGAGTCTGTAGGGGAAACTGACATCCTCATTCTTACATGGCTGCCCTGCTTTCCTTTCTAATCCTTCCCAATCACACACTCCTTATTTCTGCAATTGCCTCCCAAATAAACTACCTGCATCCACGTTCCCATTCTAGGTTTTGCTTTTTAGGGAACCTGAATGAAGACGTGATCCCCACTTTATACTTTTGCCAAAACAAGATTCTTTTCTTCTTTTTCTTACCATTTCTTCTTTTTTCCCCCAGTACCAGCTTATAAGGTGTCTGAGGTGGAGTGAAGATGACAGTCCTAGCATTTTCCAAATTTCACATCCATCCAATAGCATCTTTAATAGATCAATTTTACTCATGGTGCTGTTATCACCTCACTGTAAAGAAGATCCAGTCAATCTTTTGCAGCCATCATATTGTTATAGAAAGTTAGAACTGGAAAGTTCATATACCCAGTCTCAGCTTCCTCTCAGAAGCCTAAACTGTAGATGAGACAAAACAGTAAGTCAAGAGACAGGTCACGTGGAAAAGTGCTGGAATTTTACAATCACAGCCATCTGATCCCAAAACAGTCACTATGAGGGCAGTCACAAGAGGGCAGAGCCTCCTGCTATCACCAGGGGGCAGCAGAGGCCAGGGAACAGGTGGAGAAGCAAAGACCGAATAATGTAAAACTGTCAGAGATCTGATAGAGGCAAGACTCATATTTATTGGCGCCTGTTACAAGCTGGGCATTGTGCTGGCACAATAAGAAATCGTACAAAGTTCAAAGGCAGGGATCGGAGGCCAGAGCCAATGGAGAAGCGGAACAAAGTCCAGTTAAGAGGGCAGTTCTTCAGGTCAGCCAGGAAATGCTCAAAGACAGCAAGCATGTCTGGAAGTACAACGCCAGAAAGAAACGTGTGTAATGGCGATGGGCCTGTCCTCTGCCAGGGCAGCTGGTGGTTGCTGGGGAGTCAGGTAAGGTACATTGCTGAGGATCAGAATTTAAATGGCCTTTACCTGAGGGAGCATTCAACTTTCTTGATGGTTTTTGTGTCTTCTCCCACCACAGAAATAAACAATCCTGTGCCCTAAGTTTCAGGCTTTCCCATCATGCTAGATGCGTTGGCATTTTGATAATATCCCATGCTTGCTTTAGCATCTAATCTTTGATTATGTCTCTTGCACTTGTTGATAAAATTCTCCAGCTCTACCAGATGGTCACAGAGTATGGACCGCACTATGGTTGCCAACTGGCTTGAGATGAAGGGCTCTGTGGCACTTCCTATATTCCTCTCTCCTGTAAGGTGGAGTTCACTCTCTTCCACAGGCCTGTGGAACCCCCTGGAGAGTTATTGTGGGCTCAACAGGAAGCTCTGGGGGAATCCATCCAGTGTGCAGTGAGTGGATCTTTTCATTTAGGTTGGCTTAGCTGTGTGTGTGTGTGTGTGTGTGTGTAGGAGGTTTCATACTATTCCCCCCTCCCAAATCTTCTCATTGCCATGTTACAAGCTCACTTAGATTTTTGTCATTTGTTACTAGTTTTTTTTCAATAAGTTTTTTTTCCAATTCAATTTTTGCTCAATGTAGACTTTTCTCTGGTGGAGTTGCATATTTACAACTCGCCGATCTCTTCCTTTGCTCCTCCCTTTTCCTCCTTCCTTCCCGCTGGGTGTGATGCTCCACAGTCAGGTTTCCAGTGCCTGGAAATGGGGGTTGTGACTTCTGCTCCTTGAGCAGCCTGGTTCCAGGCATAGATTCCAGGAGCTTGAGCGATGGCTGGCTCAGACCGTGGCCTTTATCTCCAGGCTGGGAGTTGCAGGGACAAAGCCACCATGTAGCTGCTGGAGCAGGGAGAGGCAGTGAGGCCGGGGCTCCCTCCATGTTGCCAGAACCTCGCCAACATCAGTTCACATCTGCATCTGCCTCTGCCTCTGCTCCCACTTCCGCTTCCCCATCCTTGGGGAGGAAAATCCAGAGCCCACCTCCACCGGGCCGCTGAACCAGACTCTGGGTGTGGCAACCTTGGACCTGTAGGCTAACAGATTCCTCAGGTGGCTCTGATGTGCGGCTGGGAAGACATCCTGAGAATCTGTTTCACCCAGACTGAGCCGGCCTGATGCTCTAGTTCCCACGGTGGGCGCTGGTTGCTAGAGTTTTCCTCCTTTGTTGTAGGAAAGCCAACCGAATCTCATCTGGGGTCTGATAAGTTCCCGAGGAACGTCTCCCCAGTGGTGTGCCAAGGCGGTTGATGGGGGTGACACCCCCACACGCCCCAAACGCTCACCCCATGGGCAGGCAGTAAGGGGGAAGGCTGTCTGCAGATCATTTTAAAACAGCAATAAAACCAAGTCAGAAAATAAGAGTTGCTCAGCTTTTTATTGTCACCATGGTCCAGCAAGTCCACACAACCTGGTCAGGGATAAACACCCCTCCCTGCTGGACGGACCGTACCCACCCCCCACCTTCCGTGATGAAGTCTGGCGAACGAACACCAAATAGCAGCAACCTCTCTTTGTTGGTTTCTTTTTAAATGTCTTTATTTTTCAAAATATACAATTTATTTACACCTTTATTTCACAACTGTAGTTTGTATATTTATTCCAAAATCTTTAAATAACTCCGCAGTAAACAGTACAAATCACAGGAGCGGTCAAACTGCTTCTCTTTAGCCTTTATGCTCGTCGAGTGTTTTAAACGTTTCAAGTAGTAATGGTTTGCGGGTAAGAAGGGAACAAAAATAGGACCAAAGGTTTACATAAGCTCAACACATAGAATTAGAAAGGGCGATCTGAGCAGCTACTGGAGCATTTATATCGTTTATAAATAAGACCCTCTCACGAGCAGCGAGGGTTTTGGTTATGAGGGAAAGGGGCTGGAACCTCATCTGCTGGATGGGGAAGCCAATGGGGAGGGAGATAAGGCACCGAATAAAGGCTCCTTCTGGGCCTAAGGAGGCACTGCTGGAAGGGTCCTGAGTGGGGGGCAGGGGCCCACCTGTGCCAGGTGGAGGTCAAGAATGGCTGGGAATGGGGTGGGGCTCCCCCCCCCATAGAGAGGCCTCTTTAGCCGACCTTGGAGCAAAGCTTTGTGATTCTGGAGGCAGGGAGATGGCTAGAGCAGCTGGTGGTTCCTAAAGAAAGGGGCCCGGGCTCCCGCCAGCCTTGAGGCCAATGCCAGCTAGCCTTGGCCCCGTCTGCACAGGCAGGTGAGGGCCGGGCCTGTGTCTCGGCCTGAGGCACCTGGCGGTACAGCTGGCATCTGTGATTGGCAGTGGACGGAGGCACTGCCCTGGGATCCGGGATGGCCTGTGGGAGGCATCATGCTGTCTCTTCCTGTGAGAGCCCTTCATCCACCTCAGTGTTCTCCACTCATCGGGAGAAAGCCAGAGCCATCAAACCGCCCCCGGGAAGGGGAGGTGGGGAGACTAGGGCAGAGGCCCTGCAGACCCCACTCTTTGCTGTGGGGGTGGCTCCCAGGGAGCCCGAGGTGCTAAGACACAGGTGGATCACAGACCTGCCCGGAAGCCACAGGGGTCCGTTGCCGTCATTCCCCTTGGCCGGGTCCTCAAGCAGTCCTGTGGGCTGATTCTGGGCAGAGGTGCCGGTGGGAAGGCTGGGATGCTGCAGGAAAGAGCTAGTCCCCGAGGGCCACGTGGCCACCAAGTGGACGTGACCCTCCTGTGGTGGGTCGGGAGGGAAGTCTCAGTCTTTAGGGTCTCCCCAGCACCCTTCACCAAGCCCAAGAGCTGGACAAAGCCCATCCTGCCTGGCCAGGCAAACCTTCTCGCAGGGTCTGGATGGGGCGGGGGTGGGACAGGGGCCACAGTGGGGCAGGGAATTGTCACTGGATCTTCAGGTGGGGTTCTTCCGGCATAAGAGTGTGGAAAATGTAATCCCAAAATTTAGTGCTGATGCCAAATCCTAGAGAGGGAGACGAATAGGGAGAAGGTGAGGCACTGTCCAAGGAGGGGCAGAAATCTGCTTGGAAAGGGAGCCAGGGAAGATTTTCACATCTGCCCCCGCTGGCCTTCCCAACTCTCAGGGCCATCCTGGCAGAAGTCAGAGCAGGGTACCAGTTTCCCAAGGATGCCTGTAGACTAAACCCAAATCCTTTCTCTCCAGGACTTCCTGGGAGAGCCTGGCCCCTGCCTGCCTCAGCCTCCTCCTTCTCTGTGAAGATGCCAAGTCCGTTCCTGCTTCAGGGCTTTGCACCTGCTGCTCCTGAGATGCTCTTTCCCCAGATGTTGGGTGCTGGCTCCTTTTGATTTAGGTCTCAGCTCTAACGACATCTCCGCAGTGACGTCTGCCTGGACCACTTGACCTAGTGCTCTGCCATCCAACAGGGTGGCCACTAGCCCACGTGACTGCTCAGCACTGGAACTGTGGCTAGAGCTACAAAGGGACTAGATTTCCAATTTCACTTAATTTTAATTAACTTACATTTCAATTTAAAAATGTATACCTGCCCTAGCCTGTTTGGCTCAGTGGATAGAGCATTGATGAGAGAGAAACATCCATCAGCTCGATTCTGGTCAAGGGCACATGCCTGGGTTGCAGGCTCGATCCCCAGTAGGGGGCGTGCAGGAGGCAGCCAATGAATGGTTCTCTCTCATCATCGATGTTTCTTTCTCTCCCTCTCCTTTCTCTCTGAAATCAATAAAAATGTATTAAAAACAAAAACAAAAACAAAAATGTATACTCAGTTCAATTACTGGAAATCTTTCAAGCATATCAGAGCAATTCGGGTATGTGAATCTACTTTTTAAAAAATGTTTACTGTAAATTTTATGAACTTTAAACACAGATTAAATATTTCCAGTGAAAATTTAGCACCTGAATTGAGATGTGTTGTAAGTGCACGATACGCACTGGACATAGAAGACTTAACATAAGAAAAAAAAAGTAAAATATCTCATTAACAGTATTTTACATTGAGTATATGTTGACCTGATAATGTTGTGGTTGTATTTGGCTTCATAAAATATGCTATTAAAATTAATTTCACCCATGTATTTTTACTGGCTCATGTGGCCACTAGAAATTTAAAAATCACATCTGTGACTTGCGTATTTTATTAGACAGAGCTGGACCCCTCCCCTGACTTATATGGTTCCTCTAACATCATCTTGCTTTACTTTCTTTGTGGCACTTATTGTTGTCTGAAGTGATCTTTCACTATTGAGTGATTTCCTTGTTTGTCTCTGCTCTGCCCCCCACACCAGAGAGCAGGATGGGAGCCCCAGGCTTGCCTTGCTGTCTGTGGATCCCCAGAACCCAGAACCGTGCCTGGCCCTTGGTAGGGGCTTAGTGGTAGCTGTCAAATAAGCAAGCGATGAAACGAGCGAGACTGGGAGGTGCTGGCTGAGCCTTACCTGACTTCTGATGTGCAAAGTGATGCTTGACGTGGTGGGCCTTCATGCTGTACAGGTAGGAGCCCTTGTGCGGCGAGCCGAAGTGCAAGTAGTAATGGGTCATGTCGTAGAGGACGTAGCCCAGAAGGCCGCCCGCAAACACGGTGCCCCCCACCGCCTCGGGCAGGAGGAGCTGCAAGGCTGTGTAGAAGAAGGCGATCACCAGCGAAGCTGGCGCAGGGGGGAAGACCAGGCGGGACTCGTCGAAGGGTGCCTGTGGATGGAGAGGCTCACGTGTCAGAACGCAGCTGGGGGCCTGCCTGTAGCCACAACAGAGACTTCCCCACGGGCCGCTGTCCCAGGGAGGGGCAGTGATTATCATGGGTCGACTTGGCACTCTCAGCGGCTTTGGGGAGGGCAGGCCACTATGCCGGAGAGCCCTAGAGAGACTGTCCTGTTCCCGGTTTCCAAGCCAGGCTAGGACCTGGAACACTGCGCAGGAACACGGGGGTGGATGTGGCTGGGCAGGATGTTCACGGTTTCGAGTCCCGCTTTATGCTCAAGGGGCCACTTTGGCTCTGGAATTTGTTAGATGCTAGAGAGGAGCCCCACCTCCGATGACCAGGTGGGGCACTCAGACCAGGGCCTGATGCTGTCTGGGAGGGCAACATGCCGGCCAACGGAGGCTAATGTGGATTCACATGGTGGGGTGATGCCGGAAGTGTTCGCATACTTTCTCCCCACCCTTCTTCCTAACGGGGGCTCTTCTTTGTTCCAAGGGGGTGTTGTCACATTTAACAACAAGAGAAATAGGCCTTAGGCTCTGGAGCTTTAAAAGCCAAAGGTCTGACACAGAGGTAAGATTTTAGTGACTGATGGTGAGGATTCTGAGAAAGACAGACCCTCTCTGGGCTGGAAGAAAAGGGAGAAAGCAGGCAACAGTCATAGAGCAATTTGTCGATGAGGGTCTCTCTCCCGCAGACCGGGAGCAGCAGGACCAGCAGTATGCTGGAGAGCCAGCTCTGGGAGGGAGGGAGAGAAGGAGGGAGAGATGGGCACCTGGGGCAGGCTGAGAACAGCACAGGGTGGGGACAGTGGGATGCAACTTCCTCTGGGCAGACCTGGCTTCCAGTCCCTGCCACCGGGGCCATGATATTGGCCTTGAAGAGCCCCAGCGTGGTGGGTGGTCGAGAGCACAGACTCTGGAATCCACAGAAGGAGGCACAAGATCCTGGCAGTGACAGGTGTGGCCTTGGGTGAGTCCCTAGTTCCCTAATTTCCCTAAGCCCATTGGCTGCTCTGTGGAACGGGAAGAAGGGAGCTCCACACGGGCAGTGGTTGTTGACTCTTTTGTTCAGTGGTGTCTAGAGCAGTGCCTGACGCAGAGCGAGCACGCGGTGAACGCTCGTTGAGTGAACGAACGAGTTGCTGTGAGGGTTAAAGATGGTCCACGGAAGGTACCTGCAGAGTGCCCGGTGTCAGTAGTGACGGCACAGACACACACGCTCACTCTGTCCACGCCCGGTTCAGGTTAGGCCCCAGTCCTTCCTCCGAGCAATAGCAAATGCCCTGCTGTCCCTTGTTCCCAGCCCCTGACTCCCAGAGAGAGGGGCGGCTCCTGTGAATCGGGGAGAGCTGCAAGGCCCCGGGTGGGAGCCCGCCCCGCTCACCTTGTGGTGCTGGCCGTGCATGATGAAGTGCAGCGTGATGAGGTAATAGCTGTTGCTGGGGGGCTTCATGTGGAACAGGAAGCGGTGGAGGAGGTACTCTGTTAGGCTCCAGAGGAGCATCCCCAGCACGAAGAGGCCCGGGAACACGGACTTAGGCATGGCTACCGAGTACTCTGCAGGGCGGCAAGAGAGAGGAAGGTCAGGGCGGATGGCCCCAGCAGGCAGCAATGCCTGGCGGCTCTAGACGTCCATCTCACCCCCACCCCCCCGCCCCCATCACCTTGGGACCGGCAGGCCTTCTGTCCAGCAGCTATGGGGTCAGGCCACACTGCTGGGGCTCTTGGGTCCAAATGGGAAGGAGGCCGTGAGGACCTATGCTGGCCTTGGAGGGGTCCTCTCAGGAAACAATGGGGTCACTGACCAGAGATCTGAGATCTTCCTTACGGGAACTAAGAGGAGCAGCTGTGGCCGCTGATGGACATGGGCCTGGTACTATGATCTGAATGTGTCTCTTCAAAATTTTTATGTTGAAAGCTAACCCCCAAAGTGATGGTATTAAGAGGTGGAGCCTTTGGAAGGTGATTAGCTCATGAGGGTGAAGCCCTCACAAATAGGATTAGTGCCCTTATAAAAGAGGGCCCACAGCCCGGCTGGAGTGGCTCAGTTGGTTGAGCATCATCCTGTGTGCTGAAAGGTATGTTGCCGGTTCAATCCCCAGTCAGGGCACATACCTGGGTTGTGGGTTCGACCTGGTCAGGGCATGTATGGGAGGCAATCAATCAATGTCTCTCCCTCACATCAATGTTTCTCTCTCTCTCTCTCTCTCTCTCTCTCTCTCTCTCTCTCTCTCTTTTCCTCTAAGCATATCCTGGTTGAGGATAAAAAGAAAAAAGAAATAAAGAGGGCCCGCAGAGTTCCCTGTCGCTTTTGTCCATGTGAGGACACAAGAAGTCTATGACCTGGAAGAGGACCCTTACCTGACCAGGCTGGCACCCTGATCTGAGCTCCCAGCTTGTAGCTCTGGGAGCAACACCTTTCTGCTGTTTATAAGTCACCCAGTCGGTGACGTTTTGCTGTAACCAAGTCCAGATGGCTAAGACCCCTGAGAGGACCCCTTGCCTTGGTGGCATGGGGGAGAGGGAAGAATGATCCCAATTAAGCCAGGAGAGCTGGGCAGTCATTGATGGAAAATGTGAACCACCAGGGACTGGAGAGCAAGAGGGACAGGAAAACACACAGAGAAATTTCAATGGGCACGACTTGAAATCATAGCCTATGCGGAAGATGTGAAAAAAACTGAAGATGATAGGCGCGGAGGTGAGAAGACTGGAGATGTAACTGTCCAGTGTGAGGTTCCCAACACCCACCCTCTCATGCCAGCCCGCAGTCCTTGAGGCTCTTATCTCCTTTCTCCATTTTGTTCATTTCTTTGTTGTTGTTAATCCTCACCCCCGGATATTTTTCCCATTGACTTTTAGAGAGAGTGGAAGGAAGGGAAGGAGAGAGGAGGAGGAGGAGGAGGAGGAGGAGGAGGAGGAGAAGGAAGAGGAGGAGAAGGAGGAGGGGAGAAACACACCAACTGGCCACAGACTTTTGTCTTGACCTTATTTGGGCTCCCCCCACACAATCCTCATGGAGGCCCCCATCCCCACCCAGCATGCCATGTGGTTCTGGCCTAGCACTCACTTAACCTGCTTCCAGGCACTGCACTTGGGCACATCCTGAACTGCAGAACCCTCTGCTTTTCCAAACACATTCATGCACACGTCTAGGAATTTCAGCCGTGAGCTGGTGGCTCTGCTCAGCCTCCACTGCTTCTCGGCTCCCTGACTCTTCTGCACGGATGGATGCTAGTGCTCCCCTTGCCCAGCAGCTGTGTGGGGACCTGCCAGCCGCCCCTTGCCTAGCTCGGTGGCTCTTACTTTCTCTGCCTTGCCTGGCGAGCGGGGAGGTAAGGGAGGCCTGTGGACACATATCTTACACTGCCATCATGGTCACGGGCTCTACACTGGACCTTTATTAAACAGCACATCTCAGCTCTCTGCAGAGGCCTGCAGTTCTGACCAAGCCCTCAGATCACCCTCCCTGTCATGCAGAAGAGCCTCCTCCTATAGGTCAAGTCTCCGCCCACTCCCTCACCCCAGCATCATCCCTGTTGGCGCATCTGCCCCGGAGCTGGTACCGAGTGGCATCTCTAGAGGAATCCTGCAGAGGGACCTGGGCCAAGGCTCCGGCAGCCCCTTCCCCCTCCGGCCGCCAGCCCTGGCGGCTCTGCCACTGTTGCTGATTGTTAGGGGAGCCCTGGGTGGACAGTGGGCGATTCAGCGAGCAGGCTTTCTGAGCAACAAGCCCTGTGCTGTGCCTGAGCTATTCAGCGTGGGCAGAAAAGGGTAACCTTGGCTCTCGGGGCGTGCGTGTTAACCCTTGGTGACCGGGAGCAGCTCTGGGCTCCGGGGAACGTCCTGCATCTTGTTCATCCCCTACCACATCCTGGTCCAGGCAGGAAAACGGAGGCTCCCATCACGGTGGCCGTGGCCCCTCTCATCTACACCATTCAGGTCCTCCGCTTGCCACTCCCAGGAGCCGTGGGCAGGAGAGAAGCTCAGAGTGAGGGCAGGAGGAGCCTGCATCTGGCAGAGAGGGGGCGCTCCAAGGGCTCAGAGTCAGGAACATTACATGTGGTTGGGAAAGGAAAGCCCACCTGAGCTACCCCAGTACCCTTCTCCTGCCTGAACCCTCACCTGGCCTCCATCTGAGCCTCCCGCCACCGCCCTGAGGCAGGCTGTGCTAGGACATCAGACCACCAGGGCAGGCGGCATGGACCTGGAAGCCCAAGGGAGGCGGCAAGCTTGGGAGGCGGGCTGACAGAAGTGGCCGCACCCAAACCCATGGCTGCCCTGAGAGACTCAGTCCCCTAGGCTCATTGGCAGCCCTGCTCTCTGTCCCCTGATCCCTGGAGCTGGGGGACACCTGGCATCTACCTCCTAGCCACATGACCCCGAGTCGCTTGTCTGACTTTTCTGAGGCTCCATTTCCTCACCTCGAAAGGGCAGGATGATCGTCCCTTTCTCATGCGGCTGTTGGGAGGGGTAACCAAGATGGTCCCTGAAGGCACCAGGCTTGGCACGTAGAAAGTGCTCATTAGAGGTTAGTGGGGCTGTGACTCCGAGTCAGGGGTTCTGCTGCCTGGGCCTTTGCTCAGGAGACACTGCAGGACATTCCCAGATCTTTCTCTTCCAGGTTCTAAGCTGTGCTGTGTTCACGGGCCATTCTGAGTCTAGCTCTCAGCTGTGCCACGTGGTGAATGATTTCATTTAGTTTCTTGACAATCCCAGATCATACCTTTTCTAGTACTAGACTCAGTGATAAACCTCTTTCTTTATTGCTGTCTCTTGACAAATGATTTTATTTAGTTTCTGCTAATGCATTGCTGTTCTCCTCCTCCTCCTCCTCCTCCTCTTCTTCTTCCTCTTCCTCCTCCTCCTCCTCTTCCACCTCTTCCTCCTCTTTTTTTCTTCTTATAATCCATTCAGGATTGGGGCTGAGGGAGTCTGACAACATTTTTCTTTGGAAGACTATTTCTACAGAAAGGTCTCACTTCACAATGTTTGTGATATGGTTTTGGGTTCTGTCTTTGCAGAAACCTAGTGCCAAAAGGAACACCAAGGTCTCCCACCTCCAGGAGCCATGGGAGCAGACCAGGAAGGGACCAACGTTACCTGTGGTGAAGGAAGCGAAGAGTCGGACATCGCCCTGGGCGAGGGTTCGGTAGTGGGACCAACTGAGGTACAGCATCAGGGGCATCCAGATGACGGGGACGCTGTACCTGCAGGAGGGCCACCAGGGCGAGAGATAGACATGCTCAGGGGCTCGCCGGGGCCAGCTTTCCCAACACACCTTTTCACTAGAGGGGGGATGACATGGTACCAAAGCACGTGTAGACAGCATGTGGAGACCTGGGGTCAAAGGGGCACTGCTGGGGCGGGTGGGAAGGAGAAAACAGAAGGAAGGCCGTGAGTCTATCTGCGTGAGTCTCTGAAATGAGTTATTGGCAGAAAAGAACTGTGTCCCTGTGGCTACAGACTCTGTGCAGCTGAATAGATGCTGACCTCTTGTGGCAAAGGAGCTAATTGCAGGCAAAATTGTTCCCATGGGCATTAGAGGCTGGAAACCCTTCGTAGGAATCTGGAATAGAACAGGGGTGGCATTCAGAGTGGTTTCTGGCTGTATGTCGGTGTGTCACTCACTCAATGAACAAACCACGCATAGGAATGGGTTATACCTACGGCATGTTCCACTATCCCCGAGAGCTTACAGAACAGCTCTGGGCTGGGATTGGGGGAGAATGCCCCCTCCCCTATTGTATCTGCCTGATACCATCAGGAGAGAGGGACAGCCCACCCTGGGCTCAGTGCGGGGCTCACCAGACAGTCTTGGTGAGGGCCTCGATGAAGTCTGAGTAGAAGAGGCGGATGGGCCTGGTCACCGGCTGGTGGACCCACTCATCGTACTTCTCGCCCAAGTGGCCTACCTGCCACAGTAGGGGCTTCTGCCAGTCTACCAGGTCCTGCAGGAGACAAAGTCAGTGGACACTTGATATTCACACCTGCACACATTCATGCTCCCGTCTCCTGGTTATAGTATCACAGTCACCATCCTTTACCTCATGTGGTCGGTATAAGGTTACCTGCCCTCTCGCTTTAGTGATTCAGGACTTAACCAAGCCACTCATCTCAGCTCCCGGCCAGAGAAATGAGATCCAGGACAGGCTCATGACCTAAGCTGGCGCAATAAGCCATCAGACACTCTCTCTTCCTGCTGGCGTGGCTAAGTTGGCGGGCATGAGCCTGCCTGAGGAGGACTCAGTTAATCCAGAAGGTGGCCAATCCGGGATCTACAGACACCAAATCCAGATGATGACACCTGAGCACCCAGATTCATCCATGCCTGAAGCTTGAAGACCTGCCCAGGACACTGTAAGTACAGGAGCCAATACATTCTGTGCTAGGAATGAAACAGGTCCTTTCTCCTCTACCAGAGGCTTTCTTCTTGGTGTTGGCCTGGGCAATGCACATCATTTACTAGTACATTAGCACATGCAAATAATTTATACATAACTAAAATGGAAATATAATGGAAAATGTGCTCTGAATGTTTTACTTATAGGGATATAAGATCAACAAGTTTGGAAGCTGCAGTTCTAGGCAATGGGAAGCCCCTGAAGATTTATGATGAGTCAATGTATTGTAGATTAATCTGAACCAAAATCAGGAAACCAAAACCAGTAAAGGACAGTGAAGTTGTAGCGAGGGGCCACTTTCAAAGCCTGGCTTTGCCATTTATCAGCTGTGGGACCCTGGGTCTCTCAGATTCCCTCAGCTCTCTTGTCCTAAAGCCGATGTGCCCACCACCCGTAAGAGAGAGAGGGCAGAATACGTTCTGTGTTTGGCACATAGTGGATGTCAACAGATCTCCAGCACAAGGGAGTTAGGTGGCTACTGCGGGTGAGAAGGGGGTGGTGTCAGGGAAGAAAAGGGGAGGAGAGAGATGCACGGAGGAGGAGCCCCGAGCCCGGGAGAAAGAGTCAACCGTGATTCCGCCACCTGCCTTCCTCTTCCGCGGCTGGACTCTCATCCTTGCACAGGCCGCCCCACCAAAGCTTTCAGCCCGGCTGGAGGCGAAGCTAGCCCTGCCATCACAGCCTTGGAGCGGGGACGTAGGGTCTTGGGCAAACAGGGCAGGTCACTGAGCGGTCTCTCTGTGCCTGCAACTAGAGGAAAAGGCCCAAAGATGGTTGTGGTTTCCTGTTATGTGAACTTGGCAGTTCCAGGGTGCTGGCTGTCTCCCTGCTTCCCAGGCTGGAAGGGGACTCTGGTCAGCCCAGAAGCATCCCATCCAGCACCCATTAAACAAGGCAGCCATCCAAGCCCCACTGAGTCGCTTGACTTTCTCCAGCCCCCACATCTCCTTGACTTTTTCCCCTGGGTCTAGCAGGAAATGGATTTACTGGGTGCCTGCTGTCTCATTCCTTCCATTCCTCTGTCTCAGGTCTCTACACACACATACCCAGCACCACCACCACCACCACCAGGAAAAAAAAAACCACAAAAAACTGGAGGAACCAGCTATTGCTCTGTGTTTACACATTATCTTATGCAGCCTGCAGAGCCCCACCTCAAAAGAAGGGAGGCCAGGGTCATGGGGAGAATTTGAGGTTTTGCCCCAGTTGCAACACCATGGAGAGCTAACACTCAGAGCAACTGTTACATGCAGGCATGACTCTGAACACCTAATTATTTGATCTTCAACATACCTCTAACTAGGCAAGTACTGTCATTACTGTCATCTTGCAGATGGGGAGACTGAAGCAGAGGAACTTGCCCCAGGTAACCCAGGTATGTCTCTTTGATGAATTGGCCCCGTAATCATTGGGAAGCAGCCACCTTGGTGCCTGGTAATACTCCTTGTCCTGAATCTTAATAGAGCCACACCAGGCTTCCTTACGCTTGCTTGGCACGGTCTATCTTTCCCCATTCTTTTACCTTTTTTTTAATTATTATTGATTAAGGTATTACATATGTGTCCTTATCCCCCCCACCATCCTTTTACTTTCAAACTATGTACATCTTTACATTTAACGTGCATCTTTTGGGTCTTGCTTTTTTTTTTTTTTTAATCTAGTCAATCTCTGCCTTTTATTTGAAGTGTTTAATCCATTTTTATTTAATGTTGCGGCAGTACCACCATTTTGCTATTTGTTTTCTGTTTGTCTCCTCTATTCTTCTTTTTTTGCCTTGTTTGTATTAATGAAGTATTTAAAAATATTCTATATTATCTCCTCTATTGACTTTTTAGCTATGCCCTTTTGTGTTCCCCTCCCCCCCGCATTGTTACTCTACAGATGATCATGCGCATCCTTAACTTATTACCATCTTTCTCAAATGAAAACCCAGGTTTTCGTATGTTCTACTTTTGTATGTCACACATGGCACTCCATGCCTGGTTTTCATTTGTACACTTCATTCGAATTAACTGCCTTAGACAATGAATGCTTCCAGCTATTGCACAGGGGTGCGTGCGGCCAGTCAGGCCTCTCTCTGAGCCTTGCTGTGGTTTGGGCAAATTTTCACCTGTTGATTCAATTTGCCCTTATTTTATAGAGTAGAAACAGCATAGGGTTCATAACCTTGATTCAGTTGAGACCCAGGAAAAATGTCTAGGCAGGCAGCACACAGGAACTCCAGCCTAGAACTTCCGCTCTACTGTGAGGGAAACAGAACGGGAGGACAGAGCAGGTGTGGAGAGCTGAAGCTAGAAGAGTTTGTATAGAGGGGTGATGGGAACAGAACCAACACCACCCCTGGGCCCCCTGCCACTCGGAACACAGGGTCTTTCAGTTGATGCCCTGTTGCCCATCTGACCTTTGTACATGACTTTGGATCCTCCCTGAACAGACCAGTAGGCAGTCACCATACAAATGGCGGACTCGCAGTCTAGCGTTGGTCCGGAGGCTGCCTCTGACCAGCCCGCTGGCCTTGGAGGGCCTCAAACCCAGGCTCCGTGTCTAGCCCCCGGTGCATTTCTGTGAGATAGCGCTCCTTGGTGCCCAGGAAGGGCCACCGCACTCCGGGGGCTAAAGCACCACCCTGGAGGACTCCCAGGAAGGCTCACTCTTACTCGGCAAACATCTCCCTCAGTCCCCAGAGGCCAACACCTGTACTTCTACCTCAGCCCACTATTCCAGGGGAAGTAAAATGAGCTTCCATGTAAGCAGAGAAGTCCACCTACTGACTCTTCCCCATTTTATGGATGGGGACACTGAGGCCCAGGGGGCTTACGTGATTCTTGGGAGGGAGTTGGTTGGCCCTGAAGTGGGAGCCCCCTTTCTCCCCTTCCCTTCCACACAGTCTCCCAGGAGCTGGGGCGTTCACTGTGTGCTCAACCTGCTGTAGATGGTACAAGTACTGATGGGTGTCTTTTCTCAATTCTCTTCCAGTTCTGATTATTGAAGAGGAAGTTTTGCTGGGTGCTAATATGCTCAACATCTCTCACTTGCTGGTCATTTCCAACGTGGCGGCTGGCTGGAAACTCATCATGGGAAGGAAGGATGCAAAAAACAACAGCTCAGATCCCATGAGTGGGGAGGGCCTCGGGGTAAATTTCACTTCCTCGCAGAGGACCCCTTGGCTAACCCTCCCACAAATGGCTCTCTTCCTCCCAAGCTGATGCCTGGTCCTGCCCTCTTCCCACCCCTGCTTCCTAAGGCTTCAGGGCCTGGGGAGGCATCAAAGGCATCCGCAAAGGTCTGACAGCCTCTGTAGGAGGTCAGGTGGCGAGGGGGGGGGGGTAGTTCTGAATAGGTCACACCTCCAGTTCTCAGCCATTTGGGGGCTTCCATAGCAAGCCTCACAATAGCAAATCTTCCTTTACACAGCTGTGGAACCTGTTGCTCAGAGAGGGCAAGCGATTCACTCAGGGTTGCCCAGCCAAAGCGGGACTGCATAGATGAGGGTGAGGGGTCTTTTGGTGAACTGCAAGACCCCAAGCAATAGGCTGGATCCCCCAAAATACATGCAAGTCCAGGGAGAGTTTGGTTAAAGCACCTAGTGCCAACTGTGTGTGTCCCATTCCCCTCCCCCACCCAGCTCTGTCCCTGCCCCGGAGGGAGGGGGAGGGCCTCGGCCTCTCCCGGCTATGCCAGGAATGCAGCTGCAGCAGGGCCAGGCAGGGGGAAAGGGCAGCCTGCCGCCCAGAGGGTGGGTGGAAGGGCATGCGTGCTGCCAGGCTGGGGAGGGGGCCTCCTTCGCTCTCCCCCTTTCCCAGGTGCCCCTCCTCCTGGGCAGCTCGAAGCCAGGTGGCACAGAGCTCTTTCCAGGGGGCAGCACCAGCGCAGGAGCAGGAGCTGGTACCCCCCGCTCTGCAGCAGGGGCACATGCAGGGAGAGGGGGCAGCTGCTCTGTGCCAGCAGCTCCCTCCCACGACCACAGTCGCAGGCTGAGGCAATTGTTTAGAGAAATGCCCGCCCAGACCCCAGAGCTCACAGCTCCCAGGGCAGCTTTCTGAGCCCAGGAAGGCTGCGATGGGGCTTCCAACCCGTGGGGGTTGGTGGGGAGGGGAGTGAGGACAAGAAGCTGGACAGGAATCCCAGGACACAGTGTCCTGCATCCTGGTCACAGCCCCCTGGGCTCAGACTTCACGGCCACTCTCCTTTGTGAGCCGTGTTGCGGAGAACTAGGGCCTGCCATGACCCCACTTTACAGATGAGGAGACAGGTCAGACGCTCAGCTGCAGATGCTGGAGGTGGGACCTCACCTCAGTGCATCGTAACCCAGAACCAGCAGGCCTGTCAGCTGGCTCAGGACCCTGCGGTGAGAGTCAGCCAGCACAGAGGCTGTGAGGGACACCAGCAGGGGTGTTCAGTGTGGGGGTCATGGGGGGCCATGG